GGATCACCCGCGCGAGTCAGGAGGTGAGGCTGAGGAGCCTGACGCCGAGAGAGGCCCGGAAGGAGAAGACACGAAACCGGGCCTTCTCGGCGGTGGCTCCTCGCCTCTGGAACAAAATCCCTCCGGCGATTCACGCGGCCCCCACGCTGGGCACCTTTAAAACCCAATTAAAAACATGGCTGTTTATTCAGGCCTTCCCTCCAGCCAACTCTTGATTTTTTCCCCTTACTTTTCCTTTTTATTTTTACTGCTGTTCTTGTTTGATTATTATGTATTTGTCTATGTTTTATTATTTGATTTTATATTTGGAAGCCACCTAGAGTGGTCCGGTGGGCCAGACAGGCGGGTTATAAATTAAATAAATAAATAAATAAGATGAGGGGGATAAAGTGCAAGGGCAGAATCAAGTTACTTCTCCACCAGCCCATCAGGGCAGTAGAAACCCCTCCCCGCTTCATCCCCTTGCTGTTGTGGGATCTCACTTGAGCTGTGGTCTTCATAGCTTCCATGCAATGACAGCATTTAGAACAGGTGTCAGTCTATCTGCAAGAGGAAGAGATCTACAAAAAGAGCAGCAAGTGCAAATTGCTGCAGCAATTCCGCTGGCTGTCTCCTCAAGCTAGCCTCCTCCTCCTCTGCTCCTGACAGGCTGTGGGTGGGAATGAGTGTGAGTGTGCCAGGAGCTGGTGTACAGGAGCAACATTTTGCTTTCATTGGACGTGTCATGTGCACTCACGGCACCTATTCATTCACACAACCAGGCAGTTAGTCAATCCTTCTTCCTGCCTTCCTTCAGTCACCGGCCTGGCTGAGTCTAGCGAATCACCTCTTTGCTCTACCAGCTTTATTCACTAGACCCAGAAGCCTCAGATCCAGCCTCCTTGGGCATCCCTTACTGAGAAACACCCTGCTGAAGCTCCCCTGCCCTATCTAGCACATTTTCCCCTGGATCTAGAGATGGCTGCAACTCCTTAGGCAGGCTTCTTTTGCTAAGGGAAACAACCTGCCTCCTTTATTTCCTCTAAGTTATCTCCCCCACTCATTTTGACAAATGTAGGCTTAAAAAACCAACCAACCAACCAAAAAAAAAAGCCCTCCTGTTTCATGGGGTCTTGTATTAAAACAATCTTTCATTCCTGTTCCAAGTTCTTCCCTAGAGTCCACTTTCCCCTTTACTTCTTCCAATTTTCTTCCTGTCTGGGATTGTTCCCCAATGCACCATTCTTCTTGTCTGATTTAGATTTCAAAAACTGTTTGGGTCTGTATCTTATATATCTTCATAATCATGCCTCTATCTACTCAGCCTTTGACTGTGTCAACCACAACAAACTAGGGCAAATTCTTAAAGAAATGGGTGTGCCTGACCACCTTATCTATCTCCTGAGAAATCTATATATGGGACAGGAAGCAACAGTTAGGACTGGATATGGAACAATTGGTTCAAAATTGGGAAAGGAGTACAACAAAGCTGTATATTGTCTCCCTGCTCCTTTAACTTATATGCAGAATACATCATGTGAAAGGCCGGACTGGATGAATCCCAAACTGGAATTAAGATTGCCAGAAGATATATCAACAACCTCTGATATGCAGATGATACCACTCTGATGGCAGAAAATGAGGAGGAATTAAAGAACCTCGTAATGAGGGTGAAAGAGGAGAGCACAAAAATGGTCTGAAGCTCAACATAAAAAACTAAGATCATGGCCACTGGTCCCATCACCTCCTGGGAAATAGAAGGGGAAGATATGGAGGCAGTGACAGATTTTACTTTCTTGGGCTCCATGATCACTGCAGATGGTGACAGCAGCCACAAAACTAAAAGACGCCTGCTTCTTGGGAAGAAAGTGATGACAAACCTAGAACAGCATCTTAAAAAGCAGAGACATCACCTTGCCGACAAAGGTCCACATAGTCAAAGGTATGGTTTTTCCAGTAACGATGTATGGAAGTGAGAGCTGGACCATAAAGAGGAATTGATGCTTTTGAATTGTGGTGCTGGATGAGGCTCTTGTGAGTCCCCTGGACAGCAAAGAGAACAAACCTATCCATTTTGAAAGGAATCAATCCTGAGTACTCACTGGAAGGACAGATCCTGAAACTGAGCCTCCAATACCATCTCATGAGAAGAGAAGACTCCCTGGAAAAGATCCTGATGTTGGGAAAGAATGAAGGCAAGAGGAAAAGAGGACGACAGAGGACCAGATGGTTGGATAGTGTCACCGAAGTTACCAACATGAATTTGACCCAACTCTGGGAGGCAGTGGAAGACAGGAGGGCCTGGCGTGCTCTGGTCCATGGGGCACGAAGAGTCGGACACGACTTAATGACTAAACAACAACTACAGCAATCTACTCAGCATTAAAGATGGTTCAAACTCCTAATTTATATCTTTCCCCTGACAGTCCATATCTCTTCATGCAGTTCCCTATTAAACAAGTTCCAGCACCTTCACATGCAATATGTGCACAAATATATATTGTTTTAATATATATTATATAGCTTTCCTCGAAGAGGCTCAAAAACTACTGCTTGATATCAGTGGCCATTCTTTGCTGAAGATTTGCAGAACATTTCAAATAGCCATATTTCCCAGAATCTCCAGAAGAATGGAGAGTTCAATCAACCACAATGAAATCAATCCTATAGGGGGAGAAATCCTTATACCCTCATCTAAACAGAGAGATTATACAATATGACAGAAAACATGCCGCAACAATGCTATATACTAGAGCAAAGGCCATGACAGACACCCTGGCACAGCATCGTATATGCCCTTTGTGATTATACAGTGTATTCATGACCATGATGAGAAACCTTCTCCTCCATGTATTCCAATAAAGCTTGATTTTTAAAAGGATCAAGAATAATATAAGATGGTATGTATATAGCTCATTTCAGTTTTCAGAGACCTTCATCTGAATTACCTCAGCAGTTCTTTTTATTATTCATTTTGTATTTATTATTCACATTCACATTTTATCTTTCTATTTCAGCTTTGAAATTCAAAGCAGGTATAACCTTGCAAAGTAAAACAGTTGACAACAGGAATTATGATTTGTCTAAGACCGGCTCGTGAGTCTGAGGTTATATCTGAACATATGAAGACACCAGAGCTTAAAATATTAGTTCAGACAGATTTTGTTGCATTACTCCTCAGAACCACACATTTTTCCCAAGACTATATATTTTCAACACTTTATTACTATTCTGAGACCACCATTTCTGTACTGCCTAGAGCGTGCTGTTAACAAAGTGACAGGATGCTTAAGACATCATAGAAATTGTGGATGGCTGCCTCCCTTACTTCCTGAAATATGACAACATTGTTCCAGAAGCAAATCACAGGGTTTTGTATTGCTTTGACTGGTGCGAGACTCTTGTTTTCAACCAAAACATACAACAAAACAGCTTACATCTGTCTAAAGTAAGTGTTAATGAATAATGGGGAGTACCTGCTACTCACAACCCATCCTCAAAGTAATTTTTTGTGTTAGTTTCATTAGGGTTGAAAAGTAACATTCCAGGGGGCAAAAAATAACCTAATTGTTCCTTGTTACTCTAAAAAGTAGTCACTATTTTACATTTAACTTGTTGCCTCCTATTTTGGAAGCTTCCTGATCTTGATTTGGCCCTTGGATTCATCTGGTCTTGGTTCCTTTATTCTGATTAGATCATTCTCTGTAAGTAATTTGGGGAGTAAAAAATTATCCCTATCACAAACTGAATTTGGAATACAGTGGACCCTCGACTTACAGACAGCTCGACTTACAGACTTTTTGAGTTACAGACTTCTCTGGCTGCAAAATTTAGATTTGACTTGCAGCCAGAGAATCGACCTACAGACCAGAAAAAAACCCAAATGAAACAAAAATGGAACAAAAATGGCCGGTTACAGCATTAATCGGTTTTCAATGCATTGTAGGTCAATGGAGAGTCGACCTACAGACTTTTCGACTTGCAGCCACCGTTCCAATACGGATGCATTCCATAAGTAGAGGGTCCACTGTAATATATATGCAAAGCAGGTGTCCTAGTACTGAGCCATGGCACTCTCCCATTCTGGGGGCAGGGAGGGGGCCAAAGATTCTTAAGATTCCCATGATTTCCTACAATAGGGACTTCCTGGATCACAAATGGCACTGCTAAGGCTCTCAGCTGAATTGCGTATCAGCAATAAGAAGAAAAATAGAGAAATCTATCATGTCACATTTGAAGACACAATATGATAATATATATACTTACCTAACACAAAAATACAAAACAACCGGTCCAGACTTTTTGGGGAAGTCATGTTCCAGCACCCGGCGGTCCAACTGAAGCCAGTTCAGATGGCCCCTGATATGAAAGAAAGAGAGAAAGATGAGTGTCTGAAATAGCAACAAAAGGCCTCATTCTACTGCACACAGAGGCTGAGATGATAAGAACAATACTGAAGTCACACAAACCATTAAATGAAGTTTCTTAGGTGACTGTACAGCATTTGAGGGATATACAGAACACTGCAGTGGGAATGATGATATCCTCTCAGTCTTAAATGTTTAACATATAAAGTTCAGCCTGTCAGGGTGACAATTCAAGAGGCACTACGAAGAGATGGAGAACTAAAGAGATAAGAGCTTTTGTCCTTTATTGCAGCTTCTACCACCCTTGGCTGAGTATATAATTGAAAGCCTGTCAGGATTTCCATTAAAAGTCGTTAGAGCTAGGAGTTTATACAAGGACTGTAATATTTCACTGCAGGCTAAAACATAGCCAAACAATGTCTCAGACATTTTATTTGCCACCCAGAATGTCTGGAAAAGCCTTGCAAACAGAGACAGCCAAACTGCCTTTCAAGAGCTTTTGAAAACACAGCTGTTTCTCTCTCTCTCATGCACACACATGTGCAAGTATGTGTGTGTGTCTGTGCATGCACAAATATACACATACATCGACAGTTACTACAATGCTTCTCTCAATTTACCATGGGGAAAATAGTTTTGTATTATTTTCTCTTATAAAACTGAAGATGGTCAATAGGAGAGATTTCTTCCAAAGAATGGTACAAGTAGTACTATAGAAGCCGAGCTCTGATACATAAAAAATGAAAATGAAAATAAAAAAAGGAATTTCCTGCATCCCACAATCTTTCCCAGTATCTCTTGGGAATCTTGGTAGTTGTAGCCTCCCAGCCCCACCTAACCTTTCCAAGTTCTAGACCAATGGTTACCAACCCTGGGTCTCCAGATGGATTACAATTCTCAGAAATCAAGGCTTCTTGCAATTTTAGTCCAAGAACATCTCAGGAATGCAAGGCTGGGAAAGACTGTTCTAGACAGACAGTGCAAAAGGGAAGGCATCTGATCCCTGCTTAGCCAGAGACACTGAATGAAAAGCTAAGATGTCACTGTCCCAAACACAATTGGGATGAACACTTGAGTTATAGTACTGTAATGTAATCCCCCACATGCAACTTATCTGCTCGCAGAGCAGCATTTAAGTTCCTTGAATCCTTTTAAAGGATAAAGGTGGAATAAGTAAGTAAGTAAGTAAGTAAGTAAGTAAGTAAGTAAGTAAGTAAGTAAGTAAGTAAGTAAGTAAGTAAGTAAGTAAGTAAGTAAGTAAGTAAGTAAGTAAGTAAGTAAGTAAGTAAGTAAGTAAGTAAGTAAGTAAGTAAGTAAGTAAGTAAGTAAGTAAGTAAGTAAGTAAGTAAGTAAGTGAGTGAGTGAGTGAGTGAGTGAGTGAATGAATGAATGAATGAATGAATGAATGATCCAATGCAGGAAACATAGCTAAGTGTTCCTAGGTGCCTGGATGTAAAATTGGGGGATTCTAAGGTTTTATTGTGAAAGTAACTTTTCCAGTTTCCAGTAATTTCATAGAATTACATATGAGACCTTTCTCTCTCACATACACACACGAACCAGACACAGATGCATAACTTTTTCCCTAACAGCCTTTCTCTTAAGGGGTGATGGTTAAGACTGTAAAACATTTTCAAAATCTTTCAAATATGAGCATTAGTATTTAAAAATAAATGTTACAGCAGGACTATCTAATGCTGGTCACATTGCAGAAACTAATGGCCTTACATTAATAATAGAAACTATCAAGTCACAAGCATGAATGTTGCTCTTATTGATTTTCTATTCAAGCTGTCATGAGATGGTAAAGCTAATGAATAGAAATCATCTCTATAAACCATTTCTAAATAAATTATACCTGCAGAGATTTTCCTTTTAAGTTAAAGAAATTCTTTCATACTATTTTAGGGTTGCCTCCACACAAGCCTCCCACTTTCTTTAAACACACAATTTAAACTACTGTTGAGCATATTTTCTAGGGCTCTTGATAGCCTGGTGTTTTTTTTAAAGCAAGTTAGCTTTAGATTAGATTAATTTTTCAATTCAAAACCACACACTATGTCGATACAGAGGTACTTGGAAGATTTTCCACATTATGACAATATATTTTTCCTGACTGAACAGCACACAGTACGAATATCTATAATCAGTGTGCCTTGACCAGCCTGATAGCTATCACCTATGCAGTCACCTATGCAGTTGCTGTGACAACAGCCAAAATCTATGTCAACATTTCTATCAACCATCATCTTCCTCTAGCTTCTGCTCTCTAGGTTCAGTGTGGCCCACAGAAGGTCTGAAGGCACTTAGTTATTTACTGTGAGGAAATTCACTCTAATGCTGCTTGCTCAGCTTCACAACTAGAAGTGCAAGCAGTACAATGGTGTGGGTCCTACCATTAACATCCTGTCAGCGACTAGTGCAAGCAGCTGAATTCCCCCATGCTTCATGCTCCTTCCCAACCAGGAGACCCAAGGTGGCTGCTTCCTCTAACAATGAGTAAAAGGAAGGCATCATCAGGCGAAGATGGATACTACCCATCCATGGCCCTCCACAAGCCAGATGACATAAAAAAAGAATTAATATTAACAGTTTCATAACTTGTGATAGAGAATTGAACATTTATTTATTTTCTTTGTTTCTTTCTTGCTTCCTAGCCCCAAAGAACATTAAAAAGTTTCTTTCTATAGAATATCCATGCCAAATAATACATTATGCAAATGATACAACAAACAAAACCAAAAGAATCAAGCAAATCAATTTGAACTCAGTAAAAACAACTGTATTTCCATCAGTAAATGGAAAATTGCATTCATGCAGAAACATTGATCACAACAAGTGGTCAGCTTACTCTTGACTCACGAATTGCACATTTCACAAAAAAATGGGTTTTTCACCAGGCAAACTACAAAGGTTCCACTGGAGATACTTAATATTCCTAAGCAGTTAAGTTAATATGGAAATAATTAATAAGGAAATTTTGAAATCATTGTCCTTAATGTCCTTAAATGACAGGACAAAGTTAGCTGATTAATGACTCCCACTGGCAACATAATTGTTACTTTCAGTCCTCACATTCACTTGCAGGTAAGCATGCACATCTGTTCCTGTCCAGATAATGCGATTGTGAGGAACCTTAGTGCACAGTTCCCACTAACATTTCACTGAAAACAATTTCCAATGTGCTCACAACTTAGAAAGGTTACTCTAGCTCTCAGAAACTCCAGTGGGAGATTCTGGGAGCTGAACCACAGAAGGGTAACTATTATAATCTCTCATTGTGCAGGTACAGTATAGTACTTGGGGGGGACAGATGTTTTGCCATGGGTGAAAGATCAGTTACTCATCTTGAAGATGCTAACTAAATACAGTATGTAGCATTTTCTAGCATCCAATGCACTTTTTTTGGTTCTAGTGACTGCAATAAATGGTTAACTGGGAGAGCCCTCCTCCCTTTAAAAGGATTTCCAAAGTAAAAGAAGGGAGATGAAAATATTATGTTTAACAAAGAAAAATGAACAGAAGATTTATTTTTCTTGATGGATGCATTTGAATTCTAGTTTCAGATAGTAATTGTTTTGGGCTAGATGATTAAAATATTTATAGAGCCTGCAGTTACATATGCTGGGAAAAGCCCACTGTGGCCCTCCAAATGTTCTTCAGACAGAAGGATTATGGAAATTGAACACTAACAGCCTCTGGAGGCCACCTGTTACCCCCACTTTATCTGGATTTTTACAGCAAAAATAAAATATGTACAAAAATGGGGTTTCAATAAATTGGGTCACATTTTTGTTCCCTGTGGTTGCCACAACACTTTGAAAATCTAGATAATTATGGAAATTGAATTGTTCCCTGTGGTTGCCACAACACTTTGAAAATCTAGATGATACATCCTACTATCACATAAAGATGTGGCTTTCTCCCCTGCCCCACACAGATTTTTTCCTTTCTTTTTGCAGTTTGTATGAAAGATTTTTCTTCATCCTATCAAGTTAGGATTTTATTATAACACAGTAATAAAACACTTACGTCTCATCTGTGAAGGCAATTCCAAAGTACTCCTTCTCTTTCAGGTTGAAATGTGATGCCACCAGGTCTAGCAACTCCTTGGCCAAAAGCTTTGGCTAGAAAGTAAGAAGAAAAATACACATTCAGCATGGCAGAATTAGTGTGGAAAGCTGGCAGCAGCAGGGAGGGGGGCAGATCAAACAGGGAAGAGAGACATTTGTGTCCTTTGAATCTATCTGGAGATGACTTCATGAGACATGGACAGAATGGCATTATCATCTATGCAGCTGGAGGTGCCAACGGAAACCAGCTGAGCCAGGCTCCAAACAAATTTATATACTGTACTACTATGCTCTTTGCACCTGGTAGTGCCTGGTAGATACAGCTCTTTGCCATCCATCCCATTCTGTAAATAAGCAATTATGTTACATAGGCAGAAGGACAAGCACCAGCCTCTAAGCTTAACTCCCAATGTATGGTGTGGTGCATGTTGACAACAGACTCTTTTCTCCAACAACTGCAGATAATCCTTCCCAGCTGAGCATCATGGCAGAAAAGTCACAATAGCCACAAACATTAGTAAAGTCAATAATCACTGCATAAAAAGACTTACTTCCTAGATAGATTTCTCCCACATATCTGAATTAATAGTTATTTTCTTCCATAGCTTTCATCTGTTCAGAGCAACCTCCCCTAATTTGGTGCTCCTCAGCTATGTTGACTCTAGCGCCCATCAAACTCAGTCTGTATGCCCTGCTTTGGTCTGTCCAATTTCTATTCAACAAGTAGTAGCCTCAGGGCTGTTATAAGAATTTTGCCTCAGGGAGGGCTAACCATTCCAGAGAATGCAATTAGGTAGAAAAATAATGTTTTCAAATAATATCCACTCCTTCTAGATAAGACTTACGTGAAGCAAGGACAGTCTATGGGATATAAATTCTTTTATATCATACATTCCACATTATGTAAAATTCTGGGGCACAGTCACATGAAGGAGGATTGAAAATACAGGAGGCTGAGAATACTATTGTATTTGCCAGCGTATAAGATGACTTTTTTGGCCCAAAAAACATGTCTCCAATTGGGGGGTCATCTTATATGCCGGATGCAATTCAGTTGGGCCAGGAAGGAGCTGCCACCGCCATTGAGTGAGTGAAGCGGGGCTGCGCCGGCCGGGGAGGAAGGCAGGCGGGCAGGCAGGCAGGTAGTCGGTCCAGACGGAAGGAGGGAAGCAGAGCCAGCCATGCCTGAGCGGCCAGAGCCCACTGCCGGGCTACCCGCCGCCTCGCGCCGCTGAGCCAGCTGCCTGCTCGACCGCCCACTGACACTTAGCTTCCCCTTCTCCTCCTCACCCTCCTCAGCCCTTTCGCCGGCTGAGCCAGCTGCCCACTCGCCCGCCCGCCACCAGAGAGCTTCCCCTCCTCCTCGTCCCGCTTCCCCTCCTACTCCTACTCTGCTGCCATCGCCCGCCTGGCCGCTTCCCCTCCTCCTTGCCCTCCTCGCTGCTGGGCCAGCTGCCCGCTCATCTGCTGCCAGAGAGCCGCTTCCCCTCCTTCTCGCCCTCCTCATTGCTGGCCATGAACTTCCAGGGCGGGCCAGGCAGCGCCCCAGGCAGCTGCTGCCGGAGCAGAGCCATCCACTCCATATTTTGAGTGGAAATGTTGGGGGGTCGTCTTATACTCCCAGTCATCTTGTACGCCAGCAAATACGGTAGCTAATATTTATGTAATTACAATACATCTGCAAATAACCACTCACTAAATCATCTGTGGTAACTATCTAATGGTTCTATATGAAATGGGGGTGAGTATGCTTTGCAAAAGGCTTTAAAAGAAAATATGATTACATTACTGGGGAAGAAACCTCTTCTGCAATTTTACATGCAAAGTCAGACTTTGAAAACATCCTGGTTTGTAGTCCAATGTTGTATTCCGCAGTACTACATCTGCTTACCTATAAATATATCATACGTCTAATTCCAATAAACAAAGATCAGGCTAATATACTACCCTTTCTTCAGCAAGATGGCCAGCATGATTAAACTCATATTAAAGGTGTGGAAACTGCTGTTTATCTTCGTTTTTTAAAGGCCATCTAGTGAATTCACGACAGATCTAACATTTAAACTGGAGAGACTTCCAAATTAGCAGCATTATTTCCTAACCACTACACTAGAATGGCTGCAGGTATTCTACAAGATTTGGCACCTGAGCAACAGCAACAACAGCTGCTGAGAACATCTTGCTGTTCCTCGAAATACTTAATAAGCTAAATAAACACAAAGTGTTGCTCCTTGCTTCTGTGGACAGGGAACCACTGATTGCTAACTAGGCATGAAGTCATCCTTCTGGAGTATACTACAGATTACATGATAGGATTTCCACCTACCCACTGGCTCACATCCTCCTAGCTCCCCCACCTTGTTTCCTGTTTTGTATAATCTACAGTTTTGTAGCAAAACAATCTTGGTTGCAAGCAAATTTCCTTCCTGGCTCTCACTTCATTAGGGCTAGATATGGAGTTAATAATCAAGGATCTCTGCTCCTGAAAGCTATTGCAAAAACCACATTACTTTTTTAAAAATATGCTGCATCAGATAAGAAAATACAGCCCTTTATTCAGGATATATGCAAATCAGGAAGATGACACACAGCCAGCATTGGCTGTGGTTTAGTCATTATCTTGGCTTCCCTGACCGGGGAAGGGGTGGTGGAGTAAGACTGTGATGTTAAGACTGGCTTCCCTTTCTCCAGTATTACTTTCCATCCTACATTTTGCTTGCAGGTGTGAAAAGTTAGCATTCTTTTCAATATTCCTGGTTGGTGTGTGGCCTTCCAAATGTAGTTGGACTTTAACTCCAATCAGTCTTAGCACAGCCAATGATGAGAGATGATAGGACCTGCAATTCAACTACATGTTACCTACATGGGAAATCACCCTGAGGGAGACCACAGCTGCGATACAAGGATATCTGCAAGTGGGATCTGAAGGCCTTAGAAATGGACCACAACAGATGGGAAACCCTGACATCTGAGCGTTCAGCCTGGAGGCAGGCGTTGCATCACGGCCTCTCCCAGTTTGAAGAGCCCCTTGTCCAGCAGGCCGAGGCAAAGAGGCAGTCCCGAAACCAGCAAAATCAGGGAGCTGGACAGGGGACAGATTGTATTTGTCTTCAGTGTGGAAGGGATTGTCACTCTCGAATTGGCCTTCTCAGCCACATTAGATGCTGTTCCAAGACCTCTTGTCCACAAATTACATATATGGACAATCAAGTGCTAAGGCACACCGACGTCTTTCAGAACAATCCATAGCTTTTCATGACTCACACAGTCAAAAGCTTTGCTGTAGCCCTTGTTAAATAACTTCTTCCTTGACCTTTCAGAGTGGGTTATTAAAGTTAGCATGTATGTGTATGTATGAGAAATGGGCCCTTTAGGAGAGAAGGAAGCCTCTACTAGTCTTTTTATGCAAATATGGCAGCAGGTTACACGTTATGTATCTATTATAAAAGGGAGACACGACTTGAAAAAGGTTGGGAACCACTGATATAAACCATAGACTGATCTTCTGAAAGTCTTTGGTGTGTTCCAGTAGCCAGCAGATATTTGCAAATATTTGCAAACACCTTTTCAGAATCCAGCTTGAACATCAGGAATTTCTCTCTCCATATAAGGTAAAAGCCTTTGTTGAAACACCTTGAGCATCATGTTGCTTGTATGGATAATTCAATGTACATTCAACAGTGATAACCAAAATCTTTATATTTACAGGCTGTCAAGTCAACTTCAACTTAAGGTAATTTTCTAGGACTTTCTTAGTACAGAGTACACAGAAGTGGTTTAGCATTTCATTTTTCTCATGCTGGGACAGTATAGTTTGCCCAAGGCTATACTGGATGGTTTTTTTCAAGGGCACAATGGGAATCAAATACTCAACCAGACGTGTAACCCAACTAGTGATTTATTTCAACAACCAGTTAGTCACAGGTGTCGCGGAGGCAAGCAACTAGACATAATAATTGTTATTATATTGACATTTCTACCTATTTAGCATTCCAAAACAATTAAAAAAATCAATTGATAGAAATACCATCCAGGACAAAAAGAAATCCAGTAAAAATCTGCTTTGTCACATCTGTATACATATATATATGTGCGCTGTTTAGTCAGGGTGAGTACCTATGTTCTGCTGTCAAATTTGCTAATAATTTTAATAGCAGCAGCCAAATAACTACCCATTTTAAAACCCTGGTTGACTGGAGGGAATTTTTACTAATCCTCAGATTTTGACTTTATTGTACTAAGTGTTTTAAAGTAACATAATTAAGATTTTGTTGTTGATTAATCTAACAAGCAAAATACAAAAAGTATAAAAATATTGAAAATAAATGAGCATTTGAAATAAATGATTTACAAGGGTCTTTCCACACAGATCAGGATTCCCCATGATAACCAGATTGAAGGCTTGTTGTCAAGAAGGGAAGATGTAGGTTAATTAATGCCAAGTGGGTACTGACATGACCAAATAAAAGCTGCAGGGTTCAATTATAATGATGTTATCTAATTGCAGACCTGTGTATATACAGAAGGAGCTCAGGTGTACCTGGATTGCCAGAGCAGCAGCTGTCTCTTTATAGAGAAGTCTAGAATAGTAAGTCTGCATGTTGATCTCTAGAGACTTAAGCACTGAAGGTTGCAACAGAGATATGCTGATCCATGTTCACTCAAAAAGAAAAAGTGATGAGCAATGACCTATTTTCATTCAAGTCAAACAAATGGCTCATTAGAAATGTTGGTAGCATCTTACTGTCCCTTTTCAGTTTTCAATTAAATTTCTTGACTTTGTTTTTCAGAGGCTTTTTTTCTCATTAAACAAAAATGTGCTTTTGCTAGTACTGCCACAGAGACTAATGACTAACAGGAACTCAGGACCACAGATACAAAAAGGTTGAAACAGTCGATTTGCATACTGTACAGTTCTTGCTTCCTACTCCTATTGGAAAGTTGTCATGATCAAGTTGCTTGACCATAACATAATCAAGACAAGCGGCTTCAGTATGTGTTACCAAATGTATCCAAATTACTGCTACTATTCGCGCTATCACTATTTCCACTGT